TAAATTAAACAAACAAACAAACAAACAAACCCCCCCCCCATGATCAACAGGCTTCTCCCCCATTTCACCACCTCTTTGGGATGGTTTTAACCCCCTGGGGGTCCCAAACAGGTCGGAATTCAGCCCAGGGGATGGAGCTCCGTCCTCCTCCTGCTGTCTCATCGCAGCGTCAAGCTGGGACACTTGCCAGATATTCCTGCAGCTACTTTAATGTTGCTGTAGGCCTCTTGGCAGCCTCCCTGACCAATTTTCTTCTAGTCATTGTCGGCAAACACGGGTTCGAAAACACACGTGTAAGCTTGGACAGAGAGCAATCAGGAGTTTGCACATGCTAAAATGAGCTGAATGAGTCCAAATTCAGCTAGCCTTGATACAACACTCCTTCTCGCAGGTCTGCCCACATAAGAACACCCTGGTACTCTCAGATATTATTGTGAAAAGGTCAAGTGGGCTTTGTAGTCCTTAGACTTAACTTGCACCACTGACAGGACTCTAAGTAAGCTAGGCCGAGGCAGCACTCTCAGATGACCCTATGGCAAGTGTACTGTTCAGGAAACCAAATGAGTTTTATAATCTTTATTTTATTAAAGAAAAAGCATGTTACTAGGTATCAAAGCCAAATTAAACCAAAACAAATAAACTAGCATTGTGCTGTTTAGTTACACAGATGTAGTGAGGCAAACAAAACATGAAAAATATAAAAGAGTCCAAAAACCTTACAAAAACACAAAAAGCCATTAAAAAGAATAAAAACAGTTCCACTCCAGGAAATCATTAGTAAAAACAAAATAATCCAAGTAGGTTATAAAAAGGCTATAGTCCTCAGTGATCCTATAGAATAAAAACCCCTAAACAAAAGTAAAAATCCATTATATGTCCCATAGTCCTTAGAAAAGAAAAATCCAGTAAATATACCATAGTCCTTACAAAATTACAAGAGCATAGTCCATATGGAGTATTCCAGGAAAAGGAGTTCATAAAGAATATTCCATAGAACAGTCCATAGAAAATAGTCCATGCACAGTCCTTAGGAAAAATCCCATAAATCCAAAAGTAATCCAGCAAAGCATAGGAACCAGTCCATGTAGGTAGGCCACCAGTCCGTCTCGAAAGACATTAGGGTGAGTCCCAAATGGCTGAAGAGTAGGTCACGAATGACTGAAAGGTCGGTCTTGGAAAGACAATCTCCATAGGCAAAAAGTTCCTTTTTCAAGAGTAACTGGCAAGGGCTCATCGCACCTTCCCACGATGTCATCCAATCAGAGTTTGTTACTAGGCAAACAGTCCTGTTGCATCACATGACTTCTTTCCCATACCACACCAGATGTTATTTGGGTTACTGTAGTTTATCAAAGAGTCACAACAATTCCCATCTATCTAATCACACCGAGTCCTTTCTCAGGCTTTCAGAATAACATTCTCTCTGCTCGCCTAGAAAACAACTTGTCAGCATAGCAAAGATTCTTTATACAAAGAAACAAGATGGAACCTCTCTGGCTCATTTCTTAATTACAAAACCCATATGCCTTAAAAGATTTTAACTCAAAAACCCATCTCATCACAGTCATTTCATCAATTTTGCAGGAACGTCCAGTTCTTGGTAATGTCACTGTTGTGTCATATATTCTCCACTTGATAATATCTGTCTTCACTGTGTTCCATGGTATATCTAACGCATTGTGTCGCAAACCCCATGTCCCTTGTTTATTCCCTCAGAAAGGCCCACAAGTGCGTTCCCTTTTTGCTGCTAACAGTGGAGTATTTTAATCCACAATACCATTAACGTATGACTGGACACTTGTCTTGTGAACAACCAAAACGCATTTATAGAATTTGTTTATGTATTTCAAACAGTATTAGAAATCTTTCAGGTAATCAAAGTTCATTGGTCTCAGCTTATCAGTTCCCTCATTACTTTGTTTCTCTTTGTTTACAGTTTCATAAACACATCACCAACCCATCTCTTTCTAGCCAGTTCTTTTTATCTCCTCATCAATTCCCTAACCAGTTCCTAACTCATCCCTAACGCACTGCTATCTCACTCCTATTTCTATCTAATTCCACTCTGATCCCTATCTGCCTGCTCCTCCTTCAGCCAAACCTCATATATCAACGGACTCCACCTCTCCAGCTCTCTCATAGGATTATGCATATAAACTCTTGAGCATGAGTGGCAGCAGTGACAGAGCCAATCACCACACCTTGGAAATTCTTTTGTACCCTTCTCCTGACTCATACCTTTTAACAATGGCTTCTGCTATAGGATGTGATTAAGAAAATGTCAGGAATGACTTACTAGCACAGCTGATCTTTATTTGAAATTCCTCAGAGGCACTTTAAATCAGTGGTTCTTAACCTTTTTGAAAGAAACGCCCCCTTGAGCCATTGAGGAAGTTATCATCGCCCCCCTCCCCACGGTGATGATATCTCATTCATTCATTCATTCATTCATTCATTCATTCATTCATTCATTCATTCATTCATTCATTCATTCATTCAAGACACTTAAATCCAATGACCCCTGAAAACAAAATTCAATTCCAAGAAAATGAAATGCCCCCAAAAAGTAACATTTAATGATTTAGTTGCGAGCGAATTTGAAGACACAAAAAGAAATATAAAAAGGGCATAAAAACAAACCGCAATGCAGGAACTAAAAATTTCAAGATGGAAACTCTGAAACTAAATTAAGATTGGAGGAAAATATATATTCATGCACATTGTAAAAAGGCTGCAGCCATCTTCACAGGTTTGGCTTGCTCCAGTGCCCCCTACCGCCCCCTTCTGCTCCAACGCCCCCACGCCACCCCTTTTCATTCTACCGCCTCCCTGAAAAATGAAATCGCCCCTTGGGGGGTATTATCACCCACGTTAAGAACCACTGCTTTAAATGATGGCAGGTGTGTACTGACTCCTATTTAACACGAGTTTGAATGTGATCGTTTACTGCTGAACACAACTATATCCCCAGTTATAAGTGAGTGTGCACACAGTTGCAACCATATTATTTCTGGGTTTTTTATTTTTACTTCCCTCCACCTAAAAGATTTCAGTTTGTTGTTCAACTGAGTTGTATAGTTCATAGGTCTCATAAAAGGTGGGAAAAGTTCTGAAATTATTTATCTTTGTCTCATTTTTTACATCACAGACTCTTGACATTTTAACAGGGGTGTGTAAACTTTTTATATCAACTGTATGTTTTTTCATATCTAGTGTAATACAGATTTGAGAACCTGAGATTTGGCATGAATTTTAGATTCAGAATTTTAGGACATATGCAACAAAATACACTTTGAGAAATGTGCATATGTTACTGTTCTTACTATTTCAGGTATGCAGAATCAGTTGGATTCTGGCGAGGTCTTCACTGGAACACTAATCAAAATTCTTCTGTAAAAAAAAGATTAATCTAAATTCTGTATCCTAATTTTATATTTTTCTTACAGATATATTTAATGAGCATCAGAAATAATCACTGTTAGCATATTTTTAGTGTAAGAAGGAGGAATTGAAATTAACTTTGAACCTCTGGGCTGAGCCCATAGTGAATGATGAATGCATATCAGTTTTCTGAAGAATATTGTTTCTTTTTCTTGGTCTCTGTGAAGACCAAGAAGAAGAAATGGGTTTTAGTGCGCCTATGCAGAGAAATATTGGAATATTCCAGAGCTTAAGCACATGGTGCTGGGACCTCCCCCACACTGCCCTTAACCCCACCCCCGGCACTGAGTGCCTCAGTTCCTTTCTTGCCACCAATGCAGCAGCACCTCACCTTTGGAGCTTACCTCTATTCTGTTAAGAAAACTGATCTCTTGTGGAACTCCCAGACTTCTGACTTGGACCGTTGATATTGCAAACTGCCTGTGAGCGTTTTTTTTAAAAAAAAAATACAGCAGACTGTTAGTACTTTATTTTTTGTTCACCACCACATTTGGATTTCATTTATGGCCTCTTTCGGCCTCTTTAAGCGGTATGAGACCTGCCCAAACAAGATAACCATTTTGGATGGCTGTTCTGCGTCTGTTTTGTTTGGGCAAAGAATATCAGCCTGCCTCATGTGTGGCCTGTAAAAACTTTACAAAGCCAGCACTTAAATTGAGACTTCAGTGTCTCCACTCCTTTTTGTGGGAGAAATCACTTTGCCCCTCACAGGGACCATCTATGGAGCTGGCCCAAGCTTATCCATTGGAGCTTTCTCCATGTTCAGGCCATTCACCAACTTCTAAAGCCTCAAAGGTGGCTAAAATGGCATCGAAGTCCCATGTGTCTTCATTGAGCTTGAGGTCAATGGCTACAGTATTGACAACGAAGCCCCTCCCTCGGTATCAATGCCAAAAAAAGAAAAAGAATCCATCAGCTATGCAGAAGCCATCGCAGACAGTGGACAAGGTTGCGCCTTCACCTCCAGCTGTGAAGGCTCACTTGACCAGGGTTGTGGCTTCCTCTACAGCATTCCTCAGAGGTGTTGACCTGTCGAGCATCTATAAAGCTGCCACTTGGGCAGCTACCACGTTGGGCAGCTACCTTCGCGCCAAGGCTGAGTCTTCCTTTGTCCATGCTGTCTTGGCTTCTGCATTGTCGTGACGGCCCACCTCCTGGTAAGCCAGCTTGCTAGTCACCCATTAGTGTGCATTCACAGAGACCATTAAGAAGAAAAATAGGTTACTTACCTGTAACTCTGGTTCTTTGAGTGGTCATCTCTGAATTCACTCTTCCCGCCTCTCTGTCCGTCACATATGCCTTTGCATGCTGAGCAGCGGTGGGCTGTTCTACGGAACTGAGGTACTTGGTGCCAGGGGCGGGGTTAAGGGCAGCGTGCGTGAGGTCCCAGCACCATGTGGTTAAGCTCTAGAATATTCTGAGATTTTCTCTGCATAGGCACACTAAAACCCATTAGTGTGAATTCACAGATGACCACTTGAAGAACCAGAGTTACAGATAATTAACCTCTTGTGTGCTGTTGGCAAACTTCTGTTTGTTTGCTTGTTTCTTAAATGCAGGCTTTCATTAAAGATAGAACCTGGGACCAGTACCCCACGTTTTGCTGCATCTCGTGAAGATTTAGTAGGTAAATACTTTTAGAGACCACTGAAAGTTTAATTTTTTAACCTGTCTTTAATTCGGAGTATCTGAGAGCTTCATTGCATGTGATATATTGCCTGTGTTACTGTTGAAGTTTATCCTGGAGAGAGAGAGAGAGAGAGAGAGAGAGAGAATTCAATCTTTTAACAAAACTTTAATAGTTTTTTCCTTTCTCCTTTCATATTGTTGTGTTTTTATGTTTTATGTTATGTTTATGTTTTATATACTTTAAAATTTTTATTTTCATTGTATAACAAAGAAACAAACAAATAACAATAAAAGGAATACACATACGAGGGAAGGGAAAGGAACCAAAACAAAACCAAACCACGGGGAAGTGTTTACAATAATACAATATATAGTATTACCTTGGCTCCATGGCTATGTTACAATACTAAAATCCATAACATGCTATACACTGGTGCCTCAACCTATGAACTTAATGGGTTCCAGAACTCTGGTTGTAACACGAAATGGTCGTAAGTCGAAGCACCATTTCCCATAGGAATGCATTGAAATGCAATTAATCCGTTCTGTCCGAAGGAAAAAAATCACCAAAAAAAAACACACCACTGCAAGACCCATCAGAAATGTGATTGATCCGTTCCAGCCGAAGGAAAACAACAACTGAAAAGCAAACTCTGCAAGACCCATCAAAGATGGAAAAAAAATCACCAAAAGGCAAACAAACTCTGAAAGACCCATTGGAAATGAAAAAAAAAAAAAAGCAAAAAGCAAACAGCTTTCCAGCTTTCTTCAATGTATATTCTCGGGTTCTCATGTAATGCCTCTGACAGCCTATCCATTTCTGCAATATCCAATAATTTTTTTAAACAGCTCCTGCACCTTCAGATTTTCCTGATTTTTCCGTTTTTGTGCCCAGATCAACCTTGCAGCTGTAAATATGTGCAACAACATATATTTAATTTTTTAATCAACAATTTCTGGCATTATATTCAGCAGAAACATTTCTGGTTTAAAAGCTATTTTTGTTGTATAACTTTTTATCTAATATCTTTTATCTGTCACCAAAATCTTTTTACTCTATTGCATGTCCACCACACATGAAAAAAAGTGCCGGGTTGCTGACAACACTTCCAACATGAGTTACTAACCCCCGACACCATTTTTACCAGTTTTACAGGTGTAAAGTGCCATCTATAAAACATCTTTAAAACATTTTCTCTCAAGTTATCATTATAGTTATCATTCCACGACCAAGTCCAGTGTCTATATTATAACCAAAATTTTGCGCCCACTTAATCATCACTGCTTTCACCCTTTCATCTTTTAAATTATATTCTAAGAAAAAAGTATACATTTTTGTATAATTTTATCATTAGTATAAATCCATAACTCATCCACCTGAACCTTCCCCTCATAAAAGCCCATTATTTTGTCTTTTTAAAACCTTGATTCTAATTTTAGCATCGCCCACCAGTCTGCTGGTAAACCCATTTCCTTCAGCTCCTGTATATTTTTTAATTGTAGCTCTTTAGTTAAGAGCTCTTTACATGTATATTTCCATTCTTTCGAGATTAAAGAAGGTTGTGTAAAAGCTTCCAAAGGCGCTACCCATATTGGAATTTTTATATGAAATTTTTGTCAAACCTGGTGTAGCACTTTCCTTACAGTTTTATCAGGAAAAAAAAGTGTTTTGTCTTTGCCCTTGCCATATATATGCATGCCATCCTAATCTCAAATCATGTCCTTCCAATTTTAGAAGTGTTTGGTCCTCCAAAGTAATCGATTCCTTTACCCACTTTAGAGTGCAGGCTTTGCAGCATAGTAGATAATTTGGTGAACCCATTCCCCCTCTTTTCTTTTAAGTCCTGTAGGGCTTTGAGTTTTATTCTCGGTATCTTAGCTTGGAATATAAATTTAGAGAACATAGTGTCTACCTCCTTAAAATATTTATAATTCAACAGTATTGGTAAATTTTGAAACAGAAACAGAAGGTTTGGTAAAATGTTCATCTTTATAGTTTCAGTTCTACCCAGCATTGAAAGTTGCAGTTTACCCCAGTTTTCCAAATTTTCCTGTATTTCTTTAAATATTGGGAGATTTGCCAAATGTAATTAGGAATGATGACTTAATTGAAGGTATGGGAGAAAAGAAGACAAAGATTAATTTATTTGTGGATGATTCCTTATTGACAGTGAAAAATCCGTTAGAATGTATAGATAAAATTAAAACCCACTTAGAAAAACTTGGAAAAATAACCGGATTAAACATAAATTGGCAAAAATCTGACTTAATGTTCTTTAATTATAGTAGAATAGAACAAGAAAAGTTTGCAGAAAAACATGATTTTAAAATATGTAAAACAATTAAATACTTAGGGATAGATTTAGCGAAAAATATTTAAATATTTAAATAAAAATATATTAAAATATTCAAAAAATAAAGGAGTATTATTATAACAAACTAAAGGAAGTAATTAATAAGAAACTACAAGAATGTGGTAAATTTAAGTTATCTTGGTTTGGAAAGATTGCATTGGTAAAAATGAAAATTTTACCAAAAATTAATTTTCTATTTAGAATGTTACCAATGCAGTTAACAGAGGATGATTTGAAATATTGGCAAGGAATAGTTAACAAATATTGTAATGAAGGGAAGAAATCTAGAATAAATAAAAAGTATTGGTATAAAACAACAAAAAAAGGTGGTATAGGTTTGCCAAATATAAGAAACTATTATTTAGCTAACCAACTGAGGTT